CAAATTACATAGTAAATAGCTTTTATTGTTTATTAGACAAAGTATTATAGCAGTCATATTTTGTAGAGTAAAAACTTTGGCCATTATAACGATATGGTATTTAAACTATAATAGGCTTAGCTATTTATAGGCTACATATAAAATAAAATTATTAAGAAACAGACTTGTCACTATACGCGTTCAATACAAATCTGATAGTTTAACTTTACAATAATTTTTTGTTGATCGTTTCAAATATTTAGATCCTTTTATGCATAGCTATATAACTACTATAATATATAGCAAATATTTGTTGCTCTGATTATTTTCAAACTGCATAAATAAGTAGCAAATTATAAATAAATCCTTTCATGACATTCTACCCGCTCGATACATTGTGTTAATAATGACTAAACTAGGCAATTAATAAATACCATATCGGAAACTCATATCGGCATATATATTTAAATATTTATTATACTATTTGGCTTCATTTATAAGAAAATAAATATGTACGTATATGTAAACAGTTAACCAATAGAAAGTAATTTGCTATGTCGCATATGCATTTTATTTATATATCGGCAACTACCTATATACATCTATTACCTTAACAAATGGGTTCATTTATAGTGAAACCATGCTTAGAGTATATAAAATATATATACTCTAAGCATGGTTTTATTGTGAAAAAGCCCAAATAAAGTCTTCAAAAGCATAATTAGCATTAAAAAAGGTGCAACGGATTTGTAAAGTAGAATATATGAGGAAATGAAACAAAAGTAACCCGATATATACAGTAAAATAGATAAGGGGAAATAAAAAAAGTAAACCAGTATATAGAATTAGTGACTCAGATGTGACCTAAATAGTGTGATTTGAGGTGACCCAATTAAATGCATGCATGCGTATAGTGTATCTTCTTCCAAATCAAACCAAATCAGACATGAATCAAAAGCGTGACAATAAGGTTTCAGAGAGGTGAAATAGAGAATAATCTGGTGAGAAATTAGTAGAAAAAACTGAAATGAAACTGTTAATAAAGTATTAAAGAATGCGATAATATAAAAATTTCTCTAGTATTTAAAGGCAACAAGTTGTAAGATATATTGGATGCCCTTTTAAATTAAATAAATAAAATTTAATATCAGAAATTGAACAAACAAGTAAAATATACTTTCCTTACTAACAATTCTACTCAAAGTTCTGTCTATAAATTCAACCAAATCATAAACTGTATTATCTGCTTTCGTAAGGTTTTTTTTTATAACATGTTTCCTGAATTCGAGAGTGCTGATGAACTTTATCAATATGCTCAAACTTTTGTGAATACATGTGGTTTTGCACTTGTTAAAAAACAAACCCATAAAAATCATCATGATGAATTGAAAAATATGGAATTGCGTTGTGACTGAGGTGGTGTTTATGTTAATACATTAAATCTTACAGAAGAAACACACTGAAGACTAACTAGTACTAGGCTAATTAATTGCCCTTATAAAATGTTTAGTTTTTGACGAAATGACTCATAGCATCTAGAAATTCGTAATGAAAATCATAATCATGATTACTCAGAAAACATGTTAGAACACTCAATTGCCTGCCAACTCACAGAGCAACAGCTAGAAAGTGTTGCAGCAATGACTGTTGCTAGATCATGTCCTCGAGAAATTGTGTCGACCATTCGCCAGAATGACCCAGCAATACCAATTATTAGCAGAGACATCTATAATATACGTGAACAACTTCGTTAACAAAATCTGACAGGCCGAACCTCTATCCAAGTGCTTATTGATGAACTTCGAGAAGAAGATTATATTTATGAATATGAATATAACAATACTGGTTGTGTTACCCACCTTTTTTTCGCACATAAAGAATCTATCAATTTTACTTGTCAATATTCCTCCGTCCTCCTCATGGACTGTACCTATAAAACTAACAAATATAAGATGCCTTTACTGAATGTCATTGGCTTGACCAGCTTTAATACTATATTTTATTCGTGTTTTGTTTTTATGAAAGGTAAGGATGAGGAAGACTACAAGTGGGCACTAACTTGTATTGTTCGTTTGTTCGAAGGGATATCGAAGCCTGGCATAATTGTGACTGATAGAGAATTGTCACTTATGAATGCCCTTAAAATAGTCTTTCCGAATTCAACAAACCTATTGTGCTTATGGCACATTAGTAAAAATGTATTAAAAAATTGTAAACCACAATTTCCAAAAGAAAATAAAAATAGTTCAAGCAGTGAATAGGATACCTTTTTTGCAAAGTGGAGCAAAGTAGTTAATTCCAAAAACGAAAATGAATTCAATGAAATATGGCAAAACTTTCATTCTACTTACATTAATAAACCCTGCATTATAAACTACCTCGAAAGAACTTGGTTGCCATAGAAGAAAAAATTTATAAAAGCATAGACAAATTTATTTTTTCATCTAGGAACAACAGTAACTTATAATGCTTCAAATTAAAAATTTTAATAATATAGTTAGTCAAGTCAGCAACTAATTAATTAATCAACTAATCGATCAGTTAACTAATCAATTAGTTATTTTATATGGTAGTAGAATTGATTATTAATTAGTCAGCTACACGACATAGCATTTAGGTTGCAGCATGGCATATTCTAAAAACTTTAATTATCATGTTTTGCAAAAAAGATGTGATTATCATTACATAAATTATAGAGCCGCATCTTTTTGCAAAGTGCCATAATTAAAGATTTAGCTAGAATTTCAAAAACATATCCAAGCTAATTTGATATATCAACTAATCGATTAGTCAATTGATCGATTAATGGGTTGATTGATTAATCAATTAACCCATTAATTGATTAATTGACTAATCGACTAGTTGATTATAATCAAATTTTAAAATTCTTGACCATTACATTTTTTTGTTCTAATTTGTAACATTAGGTAACTTCCTGCATAGAAGATGCATATGCAAATCTTAAAGCATATTTACAGACATCAGCAGGAGATCTTCATCGGGTTCATACAAAAATTTCATTGATGGTGACTAACCAAAAAGAAGAAATCAATTCTATAACTGTATCGGAATGCATTCATTTTCCTATTTTGCACACAACAACCAATTTTATGCGAATGTTAGGGGTAAAGTTTTAACCTTTGCTCTTAAAAAGATAAATAGAGAGTATCAAAAAGCATCTTGTGTAACTGTGCAGAATCTCTTACCACCATGTACAGGTTCTTTTTCGAGAACAATGGGACTACCTTGCGTACATCGTATTCAACACTTAAAAAGCAGTCAGGGTTTAACACTTAAAGATATCCATATACATTGGTGGATTCAAGGATGCCTACCAATACCACAATTTGAAGAACATGTTAATACATTGCAACCACTTTTACAAAATCTAGAACAATGATATAATGAATGGCCCGAACATCAGCAAGCAGCAACACGAGAGATGCTGAATGATATGATCAATTCCTCATCGATTGTCTTGCAAAACCCCAACATCGTACATACTAAGGGACATCCTTTAGATGCTACTAATAACCAACCATCTACCTCAACTAGAAGAGATCCTTCTGGATTCGAGTCTGTGGAACAGAATGTAAAACAATGTTCTTTTTGCCGACAGCCTGGGCATAATGCTTATACTTGCCCAAATAGAAGTAATACAAATTAAATAGGTTAGTCTATTTTTTATTTAACATGCTATTTCTAATTAACATAACACCCTATCCTTATTTTGGTAATTTCAATTCTAGTACCTTTCCTAGAACAATATCCACTTCTGTTACAGCATCCTATTTAGTATTAGAATCATGTATACATATGTATGTACGTAGTTAAATATCAAATATATAGTTGGCAATAGCGTTCTGTAACACATGAGCCAAGGGTTTTTTTTTAAAAAACTATATAATACCCGAAGCTTTTATACGACTGCTATCTTGGCTATTCACTACCTTGAATAACTTATTTTATGCAGATTAATAAATATTTGTTATACTTATATACAACTAAATTAATGCGAAAATGCCATAATCAAATATATAGCAACTGTACTTGCCATTCTGTTCTAGTTTTTTAATACTTGTATCTAATGTAGTGACTAATAAAAGCATTTGAGCTGTTGAAACATTCTATATAATAATGTTTAATAGCATAGTATTACTAAAAATCACTATACTAATTCTTAGTAGCCCTAATATTTTTGGTTATACTGTATGTAGAAGTTCATGTATTATATATACATAAAGTAATATAAATCATGTAGAAGTTCATATCTCACGAATTTATATACTGGTACATGTGACATTTGACTATCAAATTATCACATGACTTATAGATGTTATTGTCCAATCACAATCTGTATATCAAACAGTGATCATGTAATAAATATATATTATTACATAGGGGGTATGAATAACAAAAATAGGAGGTATGAATAACAAGCCTCTAAAAATAATAATAACTAATAATAATAAAATAATAATAATTTGTTCTATAACAACATAATACAAACCAGATATTAAAAACTACTACTTTAATAACTTCTATATTATTTATAATTGCTTTTCTTAAGACAAAAATTTAGCTTTTACACTTTATATTATTGTTATATTAAAAGCCAAATTTGTTGCCAAATCTACAAAAGCTTCAGCATCCATTATCTCATATACTAAGCAACATAAAAATTAACTCAAAAGATTCAGGATGCTAAATGCAGATCTCAGAAAAAACCTAATCAAAGAACCTAATATTTGGAATTTGGCTATAATTAATAATATTAATTTCAAAGCTTCTATATTTTCATATAGCAATATTTTTGATATTACTAAAGAAAGTTTTATACAACACTGCAAATAGTTTTTTAGTTTACTTTATCTATCTTTTTTGATTTATATGAAGACTACAAAGCTATCAATTAACTACTGTTTGGAAATCTTTAGCTATCAACAACCTTTTAGTAATATACAAAACTATTTTTAATAGAATATTAAAAACTTATATAAATGACTTTGATGTAAAAAATATACATTCAGAAATTATTAAACAAATACCTATTAGTGTAATATTTTACTACCAAACATCATAATATTAAAATCTAATAATTTATCTAATTGTAATAATAAAGTTTATATAGCATGTGAAATGTACTGTGATGATTTACTCTGTAGTAGTAACAACTATTTATATATTGTATATGACCAAGCAATTTTTAGAATATTAATTTTTTACAAAAAAACTTACAATAATGTTCAACTTTTTTAGGACAATGGCATATGTCTAAAGACATATGCTATACTATAATCACAATATTCTTCAATATAGAATATTTAACCTTGCAGTGACTTTTGGAGTATGATTTTTAGACAAGTTTAATAATGTAATAGATTATTAAACAACATATTGAGTTTTAGAGTTAATTTGAGTCACAGTTAAGATTTTGTTATATCAATATGCTAAAAATAAACAAATAGAGGATCTGTATATACTTTCTTTTAAACATACAAGTTTTGAAATAAAGTAACTTTTTTTGTTAAAAATAAGAACAAACAACAAAACAAAACTAGCTAAAGTATTTACTAAAACATGAACCCTTGCCCTTGTTTTAAGAAAAAGGTTTTTTACAGAATTTCAATATACAAAAAGCATAAAAACAACAAAAAAAATAGCATTAGCAAATAGCAGAAAAAAAGCAAAAAAAAACAAAAAAAATATGTCAAGTTCTTCAAGTTTAATGATTAGTAAAAAAGAGGTTACTAATCATAAGCAAAAAGAAAAGCAAGCACTAAAAGAAACCTTTAGTGAAAATTTAATAAGCTGAGACAAACAAGTAGAATTGAAAATAAAGAAAATAAATGCTATTTAAAACCAAAAAATAAACAAAACTAACATGTTTAAAGATACTATAAACATAACAATAAACAATATAACTAAGAAACAGGTAATATTAAACAACACAGAAAAAATCAAAGGCACAATATAATAGAAGCTAAATATAACAAAAAATGCACAAAGTAATAGCTTGTCAAATAAGGCACATAAAACTAACCTCTATGCTAACTTACAAAAAGATAGTAACAAACAAAAAGGCTTAAAAAAAATACTAAATAGTAGTTTAGTTTTTTTTCAAAACTAAGAAGAAGACAGTCCACTTACTTCTTTTTTATACTCAGAAGCCAAATCAGATCAAAAAATAAAAATGCCTTAATGATTAATATTCAAGGCATGCATAGCTTCTTTAATGAAATTATAGCCTTATTATTCAAAAACTTTAAAGAAGATATTATAGCTGCAAAATAATACTTTACAAAAAAAATATATATATATAAAAATTGTATTTAAAAACAAAGAAAAATTAAAACATTATATGCTCAAGTGAATTAATATTTTTGGCAGAACCTATTTTGGTTTCATTCATACAGATTTAATAAAATCTTTTATTTTAGTCAAGATTAGAAATATTCTACTAAGAAACAAAGAAGCAATATCAGATACTATAAAAGAAGCCTTTGAGTTTGTTAATAGAATCATTTTAATTAAGCCTTTATTAATTAAAGGAACATCATATTTTATAGACCAATAAATTATAATCTTTGAAAACTCAAATGATTCTAACTTAGAAAACAAAATTTTCTGTTTTATATATATGTAGAACAATAAAGTTACAACAGAATGAAAATCAGCATCCAAAATATGCTACTTTTGTGAAAAAGAAGGCTATGTCAAAAAAAAATATTAACAATTCCAAGATTTAGTAAACTTACAAATTAGCTATCAAAAATACAAAAAAATAAATACTCTTAGATGACTTTCAAGAGTCAAATAAGATCTTAGAAAATACTAAACAAAACAATAAAAAATCTTCATTACTAAAAAATCTAAAGCAACCAGAATTAGATAATATAAAAAATAATGCATATATAGTTTTAAAAGAAACTGATCCTAACTAACAACAGAACCTTTAGTCTTTAGTTCTAACAGAACTAGCTATAATTAATATTAGCTTAGATGATCAAATGCAAATGACAATCCAAGAAGATCTTTTATCAAGTATAAAAATACTGCCAAGAGATGAACTTGCCATTTATGGCTATAGAACATTACATCCATCTGCAAGTTGCATTTCCAAGGTAGCATCTTCTTTTGACAAAAATAAAGAAACAAATGGCTTTATTATAGTCACTAACAGGAAAACCAAAAAAGAAAATAGAATATTTAAAAAAGATAAAACAAAATTATCTTTTTATAAGAAAACTCATAGAGAAAAAAGTTATTTTCAATTTAAGAAATCCAATAACCTCTTATAATTATGCACCAAAAAGCTAAATTAAAAATAGTAACACTAAATATAAAAGAACTTAATAACAAAAGCAAACAACAAAATTCACTAACTCTTTTAAAATTATACAAATTAGATATAATAATACTTCAAGAAACTAATCTTAATAATGAAAAAACACAAGAATTTCTTAAATAACAATAGAGTTACAATTTGATTTAAACTAAGAAAACAGCAATTCTAGCAGAAAACAAAAATATTAAATTCAAAAACATTCAGATAAGCCATGAAAAAAGAATAATAACAACAGACTTTGTATTTAAAGGATATTTCTTTAAACTAATGAATGTCTATGCACTACTAAACATTAGTGACAGAATAATTTTTTTTAATAACTAGAAATCTCAAATCAAAAAAAATAGCATAAATATTATAGCAAATGACTTTAATGTTAATCTTAATCCTAAAGATAACAGAATTAGTCAAGCAACAGTTCAACATGACTTCACTAGGATTCAGCTCTCTGATTTAACAAAAGAATTTATTAATATAACAAAGATGTTAAGTACCAAGCCCTTTTTGACTTTTTTTTAGAAAACACAAAATAACCATTCAATAGCTACATGTTTAGACTACATCTTTATAAATAAAAATTATAATTATTTCATATCAGAAATTAGTATATACTTTAGTAATTTAGACTATTTTTTAGTAAGATGTATATTTGAATTTAAACAAGATTTTAAACAGTCTTTAGCCTAGAGGTTTAATAAAAAATCTTTTAAAAATGAATTACTAAAAAAGGAGGTTTTAGAAAAAATTCAGAATGCTAACTTAGCAAAAAACTGAAATCTATATAAAACATACATTCAATTAATTATTAGAGCCTTTCAAAAACCAAAAGCTTCTAAAAACAAAATAGCAAAACTAAACAAATATATTACAAAGTTAAGTAAGAAGCTTGCAATAAACTTCTTAAAAGAACATCTTAAAGAAAATATAGAAGAACTTAATCTTCAAATACAAAAGAAACTAACTAAGATGGCTGAATTATAGCTAATTCAGTCAAAGACACAATGGATTGAAAATGGTAAAAAGTCAACAAAATACTTTTTTTCAAGATACAAAGCAAGAAAATTACAAAGTGCTCAATTCAAAATTGAAATACCTAAAACTTAATGCTTAGAAAATAAAAATACAATTATATATATTAAAAACTAAATATATGAAAATCTATAAAGAAAAAAACATAGATCTTAAGGCAGCAGAAGAAATTACTAAAGATTTTTTACAAATACTACAAGACCAAAATGACAATTTAGTAAAAAAAATTTCACAGAAAGAAATAACCCACACAATACAAGACCTTTTTAATAACAAGTCATCTGATACTA